AGAAAGAGGTATGAATATCTACCTCACTGAATATATCAAAGTACATGGCGATGACTTCACTCATTTTATTTGCCTATGATAACAGATCTGGGTTTTTTGTTTGTGTTTTTGTTTTTAATATATTTTTTTTATTGATTTCAAAGAAGGGAGAGGGAGAGAGAGATAGAAACATCAATGATGAGAGAGAATCATTGATCGGCTGCCTCCTGCACGCCCCTCCTGGGGATCGAGTCCACAACCTGGGCATGTGCCCTTGACTGGGAATCAAACCAGGGACCCTTCAGTCCACAGGCTGATGCTCTATCCACTGAGCCAAACAAGCCCCTCTGAAATCAATAAAAATATATTTTTTTAAAAAAATGTTACTAGATAGGATAGCACCTGGAATTTCATACTTAAGTCAGTATGAGAAATGCCAGGCCATCCAACTCCCCACCTCATCTATAAAACTAAATAGCCAGACTGGATGAACCCAGAGAATTCTCTTCTGATGTCGATATTATCTTGCTTGTCTCTCTTATTATCTTACTACTCCTAGTAAGTTCTACAGGATCCACAGTCTCCCCTACCTATGGCTTTCAGTGTAACAAGAAGTTTCTTCAGGTCATTAAGTCAGGCTCATTCCAGGCTCATAGTCCTACCCCGCAAAGAACATTCTTATTAGACAACCACCACGTTAGCTTTTAAGGGTGCAGAAAGCTAGCACTACTTAAATGTCACATGATGCTTTTTAGCTACAGTTGGCTAATGAAGGCCTTTTAATGTGCGTGTGTGCCACGGCACTACTTACAGGGTAGGGCAGGAGTTGGCAGACGACCACAGTCCAGGCTACTGTCCTCAAGCCCATAGCACTCCTAGTGGGAGTGGCTGGGTCAGAGGTGACAGTCATCTGACTATCTCAGCAGCTTTAGATCCAGAATGCCCTCTCTGACTGAGCTAGGCAGAGAACTGCTTAGGAATGAATAAAATTGATATGTTTTTTTACTGGGTACACATTAAATGAAATGACATTTTTTCTTTAATACTTACTCACTAAGGATGTGCCAATAACATAGAAGCCAATCAATACAGTAATCTCAGAATTAGGCGACAACACTTACCTGTGTTTTCTTATTAAATCTATTCCCTTGCACATTCAAAAAAAATCATTTACTGAGAGTCTCCTATGGTCTAGGCCAGTGGTTGGCAAACTGCAGCTCAGCAAACCACAGCTTGCGAGCCACATGCGGCTCTTTGGCCCCTTGAGTGTGGCTCTTCCACAAAATACCGGCTCTTCCACAAAATACCAACTTCTGCACACGAGCCACGAAGTTTCAATCGCACTGTAGGTGCGCGCCCGCACGTGGTATTTTGTGAAAGAGCCACACTGAAGGGGCCAAAGAGCCACACGTGGCTCGTGAGCCGTGGTTTGCTGACCATGGGTCTAGGCCAGTGGTTCTCAACCTTCCTCATGCCATGACCCTTTAATACAGTTCCTCATGTTGTGGTGACCCCCAACCATAAAATTATTTTCGTTGCTACTTCATAACTGTAATTTTGCTACTGTTATAAATCATAATGTAAATATCTAATATGCAGGATGTATTTTCATTGTTACAAATTGAACATAATTAAAGCATAGTGATTAATCACAAAAACAATATGTAATTATATATGTGTTTTCTGATGGTCTTAGGCGACACCTGTCGCCTAAGGGCCGGGCCGTTCGACCCCCCAAAGGGGTCGCGACCTACAGGTTGAGAACCGCTGGTCTAGGCAGTGTACAAGGAACTGGGGATACAAAGATGACAAAGGCTATGAGGGCATTGCTGGGACTCAGAGACCAGCAAATCCCAATTCCACTGCTGCCTCGAGTCTTCTCACTCCTGTATGCTTTGACCCCTTCAACCCTAAATGGGGATAGGTAGTTACCTTACTGAGTTCTTGTGAGGATTCCATGGGGGTAAAGCAAGTAAAGTGCATAGCGTAATAACATAGCTCCAACAGCAAAGACTTCCAATTTATAAGGGAAATAGCACAAATTAAACACAAAATGGATGATTAACTATTTCAACCACAAGGATGATGGAAAAAATTACTTTGGTGTATGATAATTTGAGAAATACATGTAAAACCAAATGAGTTCCTGGATATGCCTTCCAAGGGTGCAAGTCACTCCTGCACTCAGTTTTGAAGGACAATAACCCCCGGGGAATGAGTGAGAACCTGTGTTCAAGACCAGCAGCAGTGCAGGGAGAGTCCTGCTTTGCGCCCCTAGAACTTCTCATAGAGAACAGACCACCTCACTAAATGCCCAGAAAGCTAGCATCACCTAACTGTGGAGTGGCATGATCACTTGGACTGGATAAATGTCACAACGGCACAAATGTTCCTTTATCCAGAGTGAAACAGGGCAAAGAACTCTCCCTAATTTTATCACACAACCTAAAGCAGGTTGGGGGCAGGGTTCAGGGAATGTCACATGACCAAGGCACTCCAACTCCCCCAAGATGATTTGTATTACCTGTGAAAAATGGCAGTAACATAAAATCCTGTCCATCTGACTGAGCCTTATGTTCTAATCAAATCACACAAAGTGTGTGGCATCATTAGCAAAGCCTAATGCCACACAGGATGAATGAGGGCACAAAAATGTGCTCTCCTTCTTCCGTGACTTTGGGAACTGCAGGGATTCCTCTCCCAGGTATGGTTCAGAGCTCAGGCAATTTGTCCTGAGACCACAGTTTGGCTAAAAAAAACTCTGAAAAGTCATCACTTGCTCTCTGTAAACAAAAAGGAACTATCAATGCTTATCTGGTTTGCAAACTCTAGTCCTTTGTTGCTGCCAAGTTGGCCAGCAGGACAGACTGATAAATTAGAATGTGGTCAATTTTAAAGATTTAACTTCCCTTCGAGAGGCAACGTTTTCTCTTGAGATCCCAAGCACACAGAATAATTCTCATTAGCAATGTCTGCAAAGACAATTTCATTTCTACATTGAGCTGCCGAAGAAGGGAGGACTGATTTGAAGGAAAGAAAAAAAACTTAAATATACATATTTTATAATACTAGGCTTCAGTGAAATCAGTAAGAAGCCATTGGAAAGCACATTAGTCCTTAGTTAGAGAAATAAGAGGCAAATCATGAATGCTTAGCAGAATAAAATCTCAGAATCTATTTTTAAAATGAAAATCATTCCTGGCTCAACTGGACAAGCTTCACGACAGTCCCATTTAACCATCTGGAAATACTTCCTTTGTTCCATTTTTGGAAGTGTTAAAAAAGAGAGACATAAAAAAGACAGCTTTCTCTCAAAGGTAAAGAACCGCCTATATATATTGTCTTTTACAAAAATAGTCAGGAACAGGTTCTTACAATATTATTTTAGGCAAGCCATTTAACCTGTGTTCTTTTCTCCTCTTTATATAATTAGTGCTTATCTATACTAGTATATATATAAAAGCCCAGCAACCTAATGGCGGAACGACCAGAACGACTGGTTGACCAGTCGCTATGATGTGCACTGACCACCAGGGGGCAGATGCTCAACGCAGGCGCTGTCCCCTGGTGGTCAATGCTCTCCCACAGTGGGAGCGCCGCTCGGCGCCAGGATGAGGCCAAGTCTTTGCACCTATCATATACCTGAGACAATCCAGACTCTGGTCTGACCCCACCAGCTGATGCAGGCTCTCTAAGGTGTGATCTAGAAAGTGTGCGGGGAGCTGGCATAGGCAGATTGCACGAGAGGACATGACTGTGGACCCCCCAGGGAGGCTGTCCTGATGGCTGAGGATCCTGGAGCATGGCTGCCCTGAACATCCCCAATGGTGTCACCGACCTGTCATCACACATCAAGGACATTCACCAAGTGGCTTTGGGGTGCAAAGCTCTCCACCAGGTTCCTCCAGGACAGAGAACACGCTTTTACCCAAGACATTAGCCCAAAATATCAGCTCAGACTAATTTCCTCATTCAGCAGTCACTCAGAGGGCAGGTCCACAGCTGCTCGGCTGACCGGGATAAGCAGAGCTCCCACAGTGGGCCGACCCCCACAGGCCACACCCCACCCCACCCCACCAGTGCACGAATTCATGCACTGGGCCTCTAATAAAGTAACAAAAGCCACAGGTATAAGTTCCAAAGACTGGTGCAGAAATGTTCACTCTTGTGTTCACCATAGCAATGTTTAAGTGAATAGTATGAAAAGCTGAATGAATTCTTTAAGGCTGAATGAATCTGACCATCAGGCTAAGCCACGGAGTTGGAATTAAACCACCGGATGAAAACCACACCTGACTGGGAAAGGTAAACTAGGTGACCTAGTAAACTTCTTTCAGAAGCTGCTTTTTTAATTTGTGGAAACTGTCCCGGATGACATGATTATTATGAAGTGAAGTTATTAATAAGCATTCATGGACAATGCGTTCTACTGGGTGGAACAAATTCCAGTAGAGTCCAATAGGAAGAACAGAGCTGGAGTGACTCTTCCTGTGTGGGAACCAGGCTAGATTAGCTTTGAAAACAATATGGAACATTGTCATCACCCTGTATAACTCAAAAAACAAAACTAACAAATCCCACATGTGAAGCCATAAAATAAGTATCAGGAAGTCCAACCCAGTTCTGTTTTTGCTCATTGCCAGTACAGATACATTTTTTGAAATTACTTCCAGAAACAGCTTTTGGTGCTCCTGTTTTGCTGGTGTCCTAATCTGTGCTTCATCTGCTTACTTTGGGCAACTACACTGAAAAAAAGTGTCTTGAAAGATACTCATTACCTCCCTGTCCCTGGTAGGTATTAGGAACAGAAAATGGAGTCATTTAGTTGAGCTTAACATACTATTAGCAAAAGAAACAAGGATTCATTTTGCAAGAGCTTCTTTTTAGTAATAAGGTAAGACTCAGCCAACCTTCCCTCTTTTACAATGTACTTTGTCTCATCAAAGACAATTATTCCCACCAATGTTCCCTCTCCTGGGAGGAGACATTCTAAGCAGACCACGTCTTTACTAAAAATATACCTGAGTCATTTACGCTGCTATTCCTCTTGGCATAAGCGCTCCGAACCACCTGCTCATAAACCTGAGCACCTATTGTCCTCATGTTGTCCCGGATCAGAATGCCTTGAGCTTGCATCATGAAGAGGTAGGTGTTCACTGCAGGAAAGAGAAGGGAAAGGAAAAAAAGGGTGAATTCAAAATCAACCATTAAAACAAAAAACATATATAACTTTGGTTTCTTTACTTTTTTAAAAACTCTTTCAGCTCTAAAACCCTACAAATGCCATAACTCTGTTTTCCACACTGGGTTCAATGTTTTTAGGACACTACCATTCCTTGGGTAGCTAGTAGGACGTAGGGGGAATTTCTGTCAATATTCAGCAGTTGCAGAAAAACCATATTTAAAAAATTATACTCCATCAGGTCTTCAAATATTCAATCTGTATTCTAGCAAGGGGACGATCAGAAAGACCTTTATGAATCATTAAAACCTTTAAAAAAGATCTCTGATCTCACATATATGCATAACCACAGAAACAGACAACAGTGCGGTGATGGCCAGAGGGACAGTACAATGTTTCTCAACCTTGTGTAAAGTGTAAATAAAAGCCTCTTTAAAAAAATAAGTTCTCTGATCTCTTTAATTCACCTTCTCAATACTTGATGGAAACCACTGACTGCTGTGCTTAGTGAAACACTCAGATCTAGGTCTGGTCTTGGCAACCTTATGAAAATGGTGAACTAAGACTCCAGCTACTTTTCTTTGGGGTTTAGAGAGAAAAAGAAAATAATGGAAGAATGTAAGCAGTATTCACTCCCCACCCACCTCAGCCCTGAAGTAATGGGAAAAAAGAAGGGGCTAAGTACAAGTGTCAATTGAAACATATTTGTTTTGCAATATGCACAAATATAAAATCATGATACTGTACAACCAATGCTAATATAATGTTATATATCAATTACATATTAATAAAAATCAGAACAGAACAAAAATATATTAACAAATGATTATTCTGATTAACTTCCCAATCACTGTCATTTTGGAAAAGTGAGTTCCACTGCGTTTTCTTTAAGTCTCTCTATGATATGAAACTCAGGGATCACAAATATAAGTGAATATAATTCTGGTGTTCCACTTGCCATTTCAAATACCATGCCATCTGTTTTCAAGAATCGAGAGCTCTAAAGACACAGCTTCTTAACTAGTCGATCTAATTTACTCACTTTGCCTGCACCACTGTGAAGGGGGGTGTCTCACAGGGTAGCACATTTACAAACCTAAACTCTGGTGTATTAGGATCCTCTGAACCCTTGGTCCAACTCCAACCAAGCCCCAGGCAGGTACTCAATGGAGAGCTAGAGCCACTCCTCCAGACTCAATATACATGGCCTGCGGCTGCCCTGGCTCTTCAACTAGACATCATTATCATCACAGTGTCCTGTACCTAATGGGCAGTAAATAACTACATGGGTAAAGTTTAGAGGTCAATTTACTTTATTCCAAGCTATTGTGTTTGGTGCCTGTGCTGGCGATGGGGGTGGACACAGGGACCCGCCAACTGCCTAACTCTCAATATTGAAAACCTCAGGTGGCCCACATTAAACAGGAACATAAAATATTTCAAAAGATTTCAAATCATCTCTGAGGTATATGCTGAGCCATAAAATAATAAACAAAAGAAGTCAATGTTCAGAATGCTTTCAGAAATGAGGTAGCACCTTCAAAGTAGGTCTTGCGTTGACTGCAAGGCAAGCACCTGCTTAATGTCTGGCGTTGGCCAAGAATAGATCAGAGAGTGTTTATTCTCTATAGCTGGAAAGTTACAAAAAAAAGATAGCTTCAAATCCTTTAAAAAATGTAATTCTGTGAAACCTCTGAAAACGAAGAGTTACATTTCATTTCGTATTTACAGCAGATAGCACGGTGCCTGGTCACAGTGGTGGGCAGTCCATAACTATACGTTAAACATAAGATTTAAACTTCAATATCAAATTTCTAAAGTGGTTCTGTGGTATTTTTTATCCTTTGGGCTACAGAATATGAACATCGCATGTATTATATATAACTGCCCTGAAATCCTCCTTCCATTCCCAACCTACTATGAAACCAGTTGTTTTCAATAGCATAAAAACATGTATTCGTTGAACATTACGTGTAAAACTGTGAGGCACTGCCAAAAATACACTACCTCCTTCCCCACAAATTTCACTCTCTTCTCTGCAAAGGACACTTCAGTCAAGCCCCTCTTAAATCCTCTCCCTTTCTTAGTTCTAGGACCCCAAAAGCTAAGGCACTTTTCAAACTTTGCCCTGCCCCTCTCCAGAGCAGCTTTTTAAAGCCTGCTCCCTAGGCCCCACCCCCAGAGACTCTGATTCAGTGTGTCAGAGAGGGGTGGCGAAGACTTGCAATCATAACAAGTTTACAAGTGATAGATGTGGTTGATCAGAGAACCCTATTTCTGGAACCACAGTTCTCGGGAACTTCAGCTGCATAATAAATAAAAGCAAGTAACATTTATTGAGCAATTAGTTACATAATTCTTTATCTCATTTAATCCTCATAATTATCTTAATAGGAAAGTAAACAATCCAATTTACAGTCAACTTCTAGGCTTTAGTTTCTCCACGTAGGTCAACAGCGAAATGGACTTGAACCAGGACTAGATCTTATGCTCTAATTTAACCACTAAGTTTTAAGACCTTGCTCATCCATGTTCTAGCCACAATCTCCTCAAAGATTTCAAGAACCCTGAAGCTTTAAATAATTACTCTTAAGGAGATAGCTCTCAAATCTTTATCTCTTACACAAAGCTGCCAGATGGATCTTTCTTAATCACAGATGTAGCCACACTGCTACAGCTCAAAGCCTTCTATGTCTCTTGCCTTCATCCCCGGGCTTCTGCTGACCTGCAGTGCTTCTGTTCTTCCTGCCATGCAAACCTTATTAATCCTTCAAACCCGTTTACATACTTCTCCTGTATCCCCCTTCGAAGATCTCTATGGTTCTGTTACAGATTATCAAAACGAGCCTTTTGTTTGTATTTTCTTAGTTTGCTAACAACTGTCTCATGTGTCAGTATTGTCATCCAACCAATAAACTTAAACCACATCTTATTAATGCTTTTCCTAAGTATCCACAGGAATGAGCACAATGCTGAAAAAATAAAAGGCTGAGGAAATAAATTTTACAAAACAAACAAAAATATCACAAATTTATAGATTTGAGACTGGATGGGATTTTAAAGAGCACTTTTCAAAAACACCTAATGCTTCCACACCACCCCAAAACTATGCCTTCCAAGAACAGAGTCAGCATGTAAAATACAGCCATCTTCAAGGAAAATTTTACTTTGGGGTGGGTCCAAAATATCTCCCAGTCACTTTTACCTAATGGTTCTCATTCTGCCCCTTGACAAAACAGTCAAATCCCTTTCCTGCATTTCAGGTATTTTCAATCTCCCTCACACCCAACCAATCACCCTTACCTCTACCCTAACTATCCCATCTCCCCTCCCCCGACCCCACCATGTGCCCCTCCCCAAGGTATCGTCACACTTCCCTCCCCATCCTGGCTGCTCTCTTATGGATACTAGCCCTGAGTCTACACTTGACAAAGGGCAGTGCCCACGCTGGCAGAGTGGTCCAGGTGCAGCCTGACGGGTCCAGAAACAAGCAAAATTACCAGCAGCCCTGTTCCATCTATTACCAAAGCTCTGTCAACTCGAGCCCCCTCATGGAGACCCACATTCACAATAACTCAAGACCAAAGAAATTCTACAAAATAGATGTTCAATGATCTAACCAACCCACCATTTCCCAAACCAGAGCCACCCTCCACCCCCATGTAATAATTAGTAACATCAAGTGATTCTCTACAGAATTTACAATGGGAAATTCTGTTTTGGATATTTCTGTTCATAGCATTTAAAACTTCCATTACATGGCAGTTAATCAGATAACTAACACTGTTGTTGGAAAATAGTCACACCATATTATTGATTCATATTAAGCTTGCTGGAAGCAAATCCTCAATCTTATTAGATATGTTGCTGCTAAGTTACTTTTCCTGTTCTGTGCCCATGCAGTTGGTTATATAGAGCTTACAAGTGTCCCTATTAAAAGTCTTATTGCTAAATTTAGCCCATGGCTCTGGTCTAAGCTAGGAAACGTATATGTACACACTGCTTTCAATCTAAATTATCTCATTTAAAATTCACATATTTGTGAAGCAGATAACATCTTGATTTTTTAGTTTCGATAAGAAAGTCAAGTCCTCCAGAAGTCATTTACCCAAGGTCACAGGGTTAGTGAAGTCAAAAACTGAGAGAAGTGAGGTTCTGACACATTTTGATGAGCTTTACTCTGAAAAAACAGTACTTTACAATAATATGGTCCTGATCAACAGTGGCTGAATCACAGCTTAAACATATTTTTCTGAATTCACACACAGCTGTTAAATCCCCCACTGTTTCCATATCTACTGAGTAGCTACTTGCCTGAGAGCTTTCCACACACAGTCCTAGGCCACTGGGAGACAAGGATGAGTAAGACAGCACAGGATAAGGTAGACATAATTAAATAATTATAATACAGTATGACACGTGCTAAAATAACATTTACTACAAATTCAGGCATGCTAATAACTTTTATACACTTGCACGAGAAATTGTAATAATTATCCAGCCCCATATCTAGATGGAGGGAGCTCTGATGACCACAATTTGGTTGAGAAAACTAAGCCCCATTCAGGTTTACATAATGGGAAATGCCAGCCAGATGCCAATGTAAGAGCCTTGGGCCATGGCTTTAACTGAAGTTTCAGGGAGCAAAGCACGGGTCTCCTAGCAGCAAGACAAACCCTTCCCCTCTCCATTCGAATTCCAGTCAACTTCCATAGCCTATGAATCAGGTAACATGACTGTCACTTGAACACACACATTAATAAACGCCACTGACTCATAAAAATTCCTCACAAGATAATGAAATCTGTCATTCCAGATTAGGAGCAAAATGAACCCAAGAGGAAAAGAAAGAATTACAAGACTCTATATACTTAAGAGTTTATAATTTTTTATCCTAAACGTGTGTATCCTTAATGTTTGTTACATCTGGCTTGGTAAGCTGAAAGAGAAGTAGAAAAAGAAGGCATTTCCTGA